CCATAGCCCTTGCTTGTGCTCAGCAGTAGAGCCTGCCCACGTTCAGACCCATAGCCCTTGCTCGTGCTCAGCAGTAGAGCCAGCCCACGTTCAGATCAGTGCTCTGCCTCATATCAATCATCTTGTTAGTGCAAGACGACCTTGACATAATCATATGAGCAGACCTCTGCTTAGCCTGCTACAGTGTCAGTACCTGATACTCGTAGGCAGTGTCGGGCCGGAGCTTGGTGTCATGATACGATGTGGAAGCATTCCTGTACACCAGCGTGGCCAGTGGGGCGGCAATACTGTCTACTACCAGCCTCCTGTATAGCTCAAAGTGTAAAATTTTCCCATTGGGCTGTGAGGGTGGGGGCCAGGAGAGCAGGAAGGTGGTCTGCAGTCCATTCGCGTCTTTCTGCAGCTGTAGCGTTGGTGCCACCTGGCCAGCAGGGGGAGCTTCCAGGGTCTGCACGGCTACCCAGTCGCTAGAAGCACAGCCCAGCATAGTACAAGCCTCCAGTCTAACCTCGTATCTGAGAAAAATCATGGGAAAGAAACAGCGTCTCACTGATGGTAATAATGAGCATGGTCCACATGACAATTCTAATATTCAAGAGCCACATGTCCAGTCAGGGCTGCAGAGGGGCGGATCCCGGAAGGACATTCTGAGCTGGAGTCCACAGTAGGGCCCTCAAACTGACTGGCTTGAAGCAGAAGTCCTTCGATTGTGGGAGAAAACTAGGGTGAATGGAGGAACCTTGGGAACAACGGGAGAACGTGCCAGCTCTCAATTTGATTAACACCAAACCCATGCGGTGTAAGGCCACTACAATGCAGCCCGAGCCAGGTCACATCCTACAGATATAAGAATGCTGGAGTCATTTCTGAAGACACTGTGTCGTAAGAAGAAATGACATCCGCAATCTTCCATTCATAAAGGCTGTTTTCCATCTTTTGCCAATGCTGTTGGGTGGAACGCCTCAAACACGATTGAGGAAAAGAATGCGGCAGCTTCCAAAACATGCTTTAAATGAAAGCCGCATCTACGGTGTTTTCCGATGCCGACTGTGCAGAGAGGCAAGGTCCTTTCTTCAGTTCGGGTCTTCCAGAGGGAGAGGAGAGGGTTAGAGTACAATGGGGAGGAAGGTCGTTTGGCTGAGGTCGTCGATGAGCTGGTGATAACGCTGATGAGCTATTATTATCCGCCGCTTATCTGAATTTCGGTTCAACATATGTACACAACGAGGGCCTTTAATCATCGTTCATTTGAATGGTCCCCTGTCTTTGTCTGGGTCAGGAGATGGAAACATGACCAGAGCCTCAAGGTTACGGCTCTTCCTCTCCGTCACCCGCTCTCTCTCTCTCCGCAGAAAGGGCACAGCACTGGGGACGTCATTAGCACTTTCTTTGGGGAGATGCTGCTTTCTCTCGCTAATGTCATTGCGGAGAACAAGGACAGCGCTTCATCCTCCACCACGTCCTCCCGCGAAGGCCACCTCTGCTTCAAGCCAGTGTCCTCGTGTGCTGCTTGTAGCGCTGTCCGTTCCCAGGAAAATCCCTTTGTTTTTAATTAAACAGCAAGGAGATGCTTGAGACTGTGATTGCGTTCGTGAAACGTCAACCTTGGCCTTTCAAGTGTTACGGCAGCCTAGGGTAAAGGAAACAAGACTTACCTGTAATATGGGTTCAGGTCTGAGAGCATGACAGATCGACTAAGGAAGGCACTGTGGTCTGAAGAGAAGACCAAGCTCTCGAGGCTGGACTCAGCGGGGTCTCGACAGTAGATGGTGTAGTTGACGATGTTTCCATTGGTTCGGATGGGGGGTTCCCAGACCACGAGGATGTCAGTTGAACTGGATGGCTGCAGAGTTGGCGGCACGATGCCGGATGGTGCGGATGGGTTGGTCCTGGCCGTGGCGAGTGAGCTGCTGGTGCTCCCCTGGCTGTTTTTGGCAGACACGGTGTAGCTGTACTCCACACTAGGCAGCAGAGTGAAGTCGTGGAAGCGAGTTTCCTTGCCCGTGTATATGAGTAGACCGTCTCTTCTGAGCTCATAAGCGGAGATGACCCCATTTGGGTGCTCAGGTTCTCCCCAGGCGACCTCCACTGACTCGGAGCCCGTGACCCTCAGGGCCGGCACGTGCAGGCCAGTGGGCGGAGCCTCTCCCGTACGGACTGCCACCGGCGAGCTGGATGTGCAGCCGCCGTTCGTGCAGGCGATGAGGACTAACAGGTAACTTGTGTACGGCTGGAGGCCCGAAGCAAATGCATACAGCTTCTTCCCTCTGTAGCACTCCACACTGTCTAACTCCAGGGAGTAATGCGTGATCTCCCCATTGTGGATCGGTGGTCTGGTCCAGGAGACATTGAAGTGTTGTGTGGCGATATCAGTCACTACTGGTGGCTCTACTACAGCGGGGGGTGCCTCTAGTGTTCTGATTTTGGTCGCGGGGCTAGTGACACAGCCTGCCGCAGTACAGGCAGTCACAGCGTAGCTGTATATGGTGTATGCCATCACATCCTCATCTGTGAAGTTCAGGACGCTAGAGTCCAAGCTGAAGAGGAAGCTGGAGTCGTCTCTCTGGATCCGGTAGGATAAGAGGACCCCGTTGGTCTCCCTAGGGGGCATCCATGACACAACCACCGCATTCGGCCTTCCCTCCAGGTGGGTGAGAATGGGTGCCTCGAACCCTTCCGGAGGGGCTTGTTTGGTCTGCACCGTCACATGGGGGCCATCAAAATAGCCGGCCCCGTTCCTCACCCGTACCCAGAACTTGTACGTTGTCCAGGGTTGCAGACCGGTTACGTTGTGGGAGAAAGTGTGGCCATTGGTCTCATTCTCTATAAACAGTACATTCCCAGGGGCATCTTCCTCAGCCGGCCACCTCAGGCCCATAACCTGGTACTGGGAGATCTTGCCATTTGGTTGAACTGGGGGAGACCAGCTGAGCTCCACGCTGCTTGACCCCACCCACTGGGCTACGGGCGGGGGCTGGGAGGAGGGCAGGGCCTCCACCGTGGTGACGGGCTGTGGGGCTGTTCTGGAGCAGCCTGCCTCGGTGCAGGCCTCAAGCACCAGGGTGTAGAGAGTGTGAGGCTCCAGGCGACGGAAGAGGAACTGACGGGACAGACCGCTGAACTCCAGACTGCCTTCACTGTAGATGTTATATATCTGCGGAAGGGAAAAGTTAGGCAGTAAAACATACAACTAAGTACTTTAAAGGCATCCAACTGTTCTGTTTAAAAAATATGACAGCAGTGAGTAAAATGCAAAGACCACCCATCACCAATCTGGGGAAAAGTACAAATATCTCTACGTTACAGATTTGGAGTGTAGTATTATGTGAACATTATAAAGTGATTTTCATACTTCTAATCTTATTACTTTTATCCAGTATGCACTAGGAGCAAGGAAGACATGGCGCAAGGAAGACATACATCTAGACTCTTCTCTGTTTTGGCACCTATGTGGTGGAATGAACTTTCCCTAGATGTCTAAAGTCATTGGGTACCTTCAAATGACGACTAGACACCTACCTCTTTCGGAAGTACTTGGATTAGCACTTCCGGGATTATACTCTTATAAATTTAAAACAAATGTATTACTTGCCAACAGAGTTTTCAGAGTGATGGTATTCTTCGCTGTGTTCTACTGAGCCGGTATCAGAATGTTTTCACTGATGAGAGACTTCAAAGCAAAAGTCGCTCTGTATACGGGTGACTGCCAAAGGCCGTAAATGTAAATGTGAATGTAAATTACAATGAAATAATGCAGTATAAAAAAATTACATTTATACAGCAATTAAATGTGCAATGTGCCAGTAACTGGCTCATGTCTTAACAAAACACGCTTTCCACTGTGTAGTTGAATGCACATTTATTTATTTTCTTTGAAAAAGGTGCTGCCAGTATGTATAGATGTGCTTATGTCCCCAGCTGTTTCCCCTCCCATGTAGTAGTGTCCGTGTTGACATGGGTGGGGAGCCCTATATGTTAGAACATAAGAACATAAGAAATAGCTCAGAGATGTTACAATCTTATCTAGCTCTGATTTCAAGGAACCCAGGGTTTTAGCTTGTACTACATGAACAGGAAGACTATTCCATACTCTAACTACATGCTGTGTAAAGAAGTGTTTTCTCAAATTCAGTTTAAAATGTTCTCCCGCTAATTTCCATCCATGGCCACGAGTTCTAGTATTTAAACTAATATTGAAGTAGCCATTTGACTGATCAGCTGAATGTCCTACTGTATGCTTCCATTAAATCAGGGGGTCTGCATATTATGTCATTCTCACGTGTGCGTCCTTTAATATAGGGGGTCTGCATATTACGTCATTCTCACGTGTGCGTCCTTTAATATAGGGGGTCTGCATATTACG